CCCTTCATCGATATATTTACCCTTTAACACAGTTTTCATAACTGATATTTATAATACAATTTAGGTATGTACCGTATTAAAAAAATGTATTAATCAGGCACTCGTCGATAGCATTCTCATAGCGGACGGTCGGCATTCGAAGAACGGAGCCTCCAATTAATAACGCAGCCCCACAAAAAAAAACACAAGTTGTCCAGGCCAAAGACAAAGTGTATTCTTGTGTATTCGACCCGCTGCATCTGAATCCGAGGTCAGAATTGAAAACAATTGGTAGATATAACATCAAGAATCATTTGACGCCAGCAGATAAGTAACCATGGTTAAGCAGATCGACCACGACTGGCTATGTGTTTTTAACACAGAAAATTTATTGCCAAAAGCATTACCTCGGCCAGGGTTTGAACCTGGACCTCCCTTCACTCTAGGCGGGCGTCTCAATCAATTCGACCACCGAGGCATACGATTGGGGGAACTTTAATGCGTTTTTTTAGTTTAGGGAGGATTTGCGACCTGGTGGAGCAACTCTGGATTCGTATTCAGCGGGTCAAAATACACGAGAATACACTTGTCTGGTCTTTGGTCTAGACAACTTTTTTTATGGGGCTGTGTAATGAAGGAAAGTTTCCTATTATGAGACAGACTCTTAATATAAGACAGCAGAGTTTCTGTTAAATTAAGGGGCTGGAGTGATTCTACACTTTTGGCACCTTTTGTTCCTAAACTGTCAGTTCAGAAAAACATTTGCGTAATATACAAAATATTGTGGCTTTTGTGTACGAACCGACAGTGTTCCACTATTCGAACTAAATCAGAGAACAGCATGGTAACATTGAAATTAAGTTTAGAAGCTTAACAAAAAATCTGTTATATATATATAACTTATTCGAGTGAATAGACTTCTTGTTAAGTTCTTTAATTTAATTTCAATGATACCATGCTGTTCTTTGACTTAATCTGAATAGTGGGACACTGTCGGTCTGTACACAAAAGCCACATAATTTGTATATTAGACAAATGTTTTCATGAATCGACAGTTCTAGGAGCAAATGGTGCCAAAAGTATAGAATCAATCACTCCAGCATCCCCGTAATAAGCGTCATCAGTTGGTTCTACCATGAATTTATTGTCCTTGTAGCGAAATTTGTTTAGTGGAAAATTAATTGTTCAATCGCGTAATCGTTGCAAAAAAAGATTTATGATTGAGTTTGGACGTTGAAAACTTGCTATCTCATAATAGAGGACTTTCCTCTAATAATTAAATTTTGAAAACAAACTTGATCCTCCAGAATGGAAATTAAATCCCTTCTTATAAAAAATTATAACGAGATTAGCTTGAAAATTTTGACCGATTCAGGATTATGACGTAATGAAACAACAAATAATCAAATGTGTGATAAAATTACGCGTACTTAGTACTGCACGAATTGTGTCGTTCACTTTTTTTTCTTTTACCAAAGAACTAGTAATATTATCGGAATGGTTATCGCTGCCAATTTCACGAATCGCTGCGCCGTCTGTGCTCGCAGATTTTCTTTGCGTCCGCAATGAACGTTTTCTCTCGAAAACGCCTTGCATTTTAAGCGGCCTGTGTCTGTGAGGGAGGTCACACCAAACAAACGTCGATAGGAGAGCACAATTCCCGAATAATAATCAGCGTTAATTGCACTCGTGCATATGTGCCCTTCGTTTGCGCATAGAATGCTTGTGAATCCGTCGCCAAAAACTCCGCACGTTTTTTTCTCTGGAACAGCTGCAATCTATGTTCTTGTTATTAAATTTAATTGGCGGGTATCTAGCAAAATTTTACAAAGCGAAACCAAATTAATTGCATTTTATATACCATAAAGTTATATTTTTTAATATATTTTCTTGAATAAAGTATGTTTCAAGTAATCATTTACGCTCCAAGGGAGAAACACAATTCCGATAATTTTATGATATATACGTATATTGTAGTAGTGAGTTGATCGATTAACTTTTCCTTACTCAGAATCCGTCAGAAGGAATAAGGTGTTAAAAATTTAAAAAAAAATTTTTTTTTAATTTAACCTGACCTTCGAATGACCTTGAAATTTGACCATAAGGTCAAAATCAAAGTCACCGTTTGATAGCCCCCTCTGACCCCTGCGACTTTTGTCCACAGTCTTTTGCCATTTTGCTTCCTCTTCGAGAAGTCGGAGCGCGAAGATTACCACGGCCCGCGCTGCGTAGATAATCTTATCTGGAATACTATCTAATTGGTTTATATGATGGAAATTCTCCAGTGAACTCTATACATACTGGAATGAGTAATCTATTGTTCTGTTGCCGAGTCGCATATAAATGACGAGAAGAAGGGCGTCACTTATATGCGATTATCCAATCAGGTAATACTAGAAGGAGACAAGGATTCACCCAACGCACCTCTCTCTCGGCAACAGTCAGATGTAGATCACTCATTCCAGTATGTATAGAGTTCACTGATCTAATGGAAATTCTCAGATTAGGAAAGATAGCTTCTGTGCAGTACTGGCCTGCGTAAGTTGGTTGACTCCGGACACCGCTCCGATATTGTTTATTACCCAATACTCCACCTCACTCCACCCTCGGCGGCGAGTAGCGACATCAAAGGACTGCGCAGGTTGAGTGCGTCTTTGCGAAAAAAAAAATGACGCAGTAGAGCGCCACGCGCGATATACCATTCCGCCGCTCTCCCGCCCGCTGTTTTTTCCCCGGCCGATCGGATAGATTGGTGCGAGTCAAACGGACCGAAGGGTAAGGTGGTACTCTCTCTCTCTCTCTCTTTCTTTCTCTTTTTCTCCGTACCGGACCTATAGAAGAATCGCGTTCGTAACGTCCAAGTGGGGAAGGGAGGGAGGAAAATTTGAGATAGGATCCTTCGCTTTCTACAGTTAGTCTTTGCACTCCTATCGTAGCGGTGACATCGCAGTACGTCGCACTCGTGAGCATAGAGCGAGCTAGGAGTAGGGTTAGAATAAATTCGGAAAGAAGAAACGTTCGAAAACGTTCTAGCGTTATGGCGCAAAGTGAGTACCCCGAATTTTATCAAGAAAATTTGTCGTTTCCGAAGCGTAACTCCGTTGGAGAACAAAGGAAGTGTAAAGGCTCATCTAGACGACAAGGCGTAAAGCCTCCGCTACAATGATTCTCGGTTCTGTCTACAATGGTCGTAGTCGTAGTCGCTCGATATTGACCAATCGCAGTCGATTATTCTTACGACTACGACCATTGTAGACAGAACCGAGAATCATTGTAGCGGAGGCTTAAGGCGCGGCGCAAGAGCGCGGGCACAGGCGCAAGAGGATTTTTCCCGATCGTAGGGTTGTGGCGCAGCGGCGCAAGCGAAATAAACGAATTTTATTTTCAACGCCTGCGCCTGAGCTCTTGCGCCGTGCCTTGCGCCTTGTCGTGTAGACGAGGCTTAATAGACGAACTGCAACGAACGCGTCGCGGATTTGTTCGATTGTGCGAAACAGTTTAGTGCCGATGGGCTGCCATAAGGCTCGTCTACACGACAAGGCGTAAGGCGCGGCGCAAGAGCGCGGGCACAGGCGCAAGAGGATTTTTCCCGATCGTAGGGTCGTGGCGCAGCGGCGCAAGCGAAATACACTAATTTTACTTCCAACGCCAGCGCCTGAGCTCTTGCGCCGTGCCTTACGCCTTGTCGTGTAGACGAGGCTATAGGCGTAGTAGACATTGGGAGCTTTCCAGCAAGCGACACAAGTCGACACAAATGTCGTTCTGTCTTTCTTCGCATTCAATGAATAATAAAGACAGAACGACATTTGTGTCGACTTGTGTCGCTTGCTGGAAAGCTCCCCGAGGCTGGTATTCATAATGCGTTCTTATTTAAGATCATCTTAAGTATACTCTTAATGTGCTTTTAACCAATCACAGAGCCGTATTAACCTCTTGAAACAACGCTTAAGATGATTTTGAAATAAGAACGGACTGTAAGCACCGAGTCCCACTGAATAAGGCTGCGTTCGGAGACATCGCCTGACGTGTCCCCGTGTATCACTTGATTTTATATTTGGCGAGTAACAAGGATAGAACGATCCACTGGGCACTCGAGGGGGGGGGGGGGGGACGTTTCCGATCGCAGCCTAAAGCCTGAAGCTTGTGAAAAGGGGGGAAAGATTCGAGTTTCTTTCTTCGTGCACCGTCGTAAAAGATAAGAAACGTAACTGCGTACCTGCGTAACTGCGCAGTGCTCCGTGTTTTACCCTGATCGCGGTGGTGAGACGGAGAAAGTAAGTCTTCCTCTCTGTCGCTCTCTTCACAAGCTCCAGCTTATTCAAAGGGACGCTCAGTCTATATTTACACTGAGAAAAATTTTCATCGGATAAACCAATTAAATAGTATGTCCGATGGTTAATTTTTCCGATTACCTTTTCCGATTAAATTATGGATATATCCGATGAAATGCAATTATCGATGAAATTTGATTGAAAAACCGATCAAATATTTCATCGGATATACTATTTAATCGGACATATCCGTTTGTTATCATGTAATTGGATTATCCGATTATATTTAATCGGACATTTTTCTCAGTGTATGTCTATGGTGGCTGCGTTCAGCAGAAAAAGCTGCTTTGCAACCGTGGTAAAATTCGTGAATCCGATTGGCGGCGTATTCTCTTAATCTTGAGTGAGTTTAAGAGCATATGTCAATCAGATTCACGAATTTTACGAAGCAGCTCTTTCTGCCGAACGCAGCCAGTGCTCTGCGTCACAGAGGAAAACGTCCCATTATAGAAGAGAAATTTTTGATCTTGCGGGGTTGCATTACCCGATTGCATCATCCCGCGCGAGGTCCGATAGTCGGGCCCATGGACGTAAGAATATATGGACGGAGCGTAATGTAGGATTTAGGACGAGGGGACCCAAGCGAGCGCGATGAGGGGAAATTAGGTGGCGGCCACCGTAAAACCGTGGTGGCGGCCATATGTGATGACTAGGTGATTGTATAGGACGCCTCGTGATAGGCTGGTAGCGTCGCCGCTATATGTGATGACTACTTTTCCCCTCACTGCTCTGGCTCGGCCCCCGCTAACTTACACTCCGTCCATATATTCTTACGTCCATGGTCGGGCCCCTGCATCGTATAATACACTGAGAAAAATGTCCGATTAAATTGTATATCCGATGAAAAATTTGATCGGTTTTTCAATCAAATTTCATCGGTAATTGCATTTCATCGGATAAATTTCATCGGATAAATTTCATCGGATATATCCATAATTTAATCGGAAAACGTAATCGGAAAAATTAACCATCGGACATACTATTTAATTGGTTTATCCGATGAAAATTTTTCTCAGTGTACAATCAATTAAAACTTGCTCTTTTTTTTACAACGTTTACTGGTTTGCTCATTCCGCCTATTGGTTAGTCTCATAACAATAGAGTAAAAGTTTCACTTTAAGAAAAGGTGAAGAGTGAAAAGGTTCACTCTGATCGAGTGAAATATTTTATCTACTATAATGGAGTTAAATATTTACTTCAAACGAGTGAAACAATCATTTTACGGTTGGAGTCAAATATTCACACTTATGAAAAGTGCAATGTCACTCCATTTCGCGCGGCAGTATTGTGACTATCGACCTGAGTGAATTTTAACTCCTTTTGAGTGAAATCTCACTCGAAGAAATTTAGAGAGTACAGCACAAACCTTGCAGTTACATTGCAGCTACATTACAGCAATGTTGCAATATTGTAGCAATGTCATTGCAATGTAACTGCAAGTTTCGTGCTGTACGGGGTCGAACAACGTCAAGAACTACTTGGCGAGCAAAAGATCTGGGCTCGATTCCCGGACTTAGTCTATCCAGACAAATTTGCAGAGGTGTACAAGCGTATACACAAAGAATTTGATTGTCTATTTCCTCATGACCCAATCAGATTCCTTCTGCATATATTTACGCGCTATGTAACTTTGTTTGGAGAAACCCTTACCACCCAGGCAGAAATGGCTCATCGATAATGTCGAATACATTACATCGATAACGAAGCGTCAACCGACAACATTTCACGCTAGGCCACCCCACTTATAGATACTACACATTTGAATAGGAACATATAACATACATATAGTTTAGAATTAATACAGTAATATATTACAATTTTGTAATGCGTTATTTATTTGCCCATCGCTCGTCGTTTTATTACAGGATAATTTACAATTGGGTGGATTAAAAAATCGACGTGTATGTGACGCTCGAATTTATAAAGATAACGCTAGATTATGCGCAATTCATAATAGATTTACAAAAATTCGTCGTTTGCCAAAAATGCGCGATTCGCAATTTGTAATTCGCAGTAAATTCGTAAAAATTTGTCGCGTTCATCTCAGTAAACCCGTATTATCTATTCATTCCCTTCATATTAGCTATTCGTTGTTGATGTAGCATTACTGAACCGAATTGACTGATTCGTGACGATTGGCCCCCTTTGATTTCGTAAAAAACCGCTCTGCTGACAAATTAGCATGAATGATAAACGAATGTGAACTCAATGAATTTTTCCACTTCCATCATTCACGAATCTCGTGAATCACATGAATAGCGAATTGCAAATCGTGCGAACAAAGAGTCCGGCGGTAGATTGAGGGGAGATTCTCGCTACAATTTCTTAAAAATTTGATAACACCTAATTGTATTTCAAAAAAATCGGAATATACTATATTGATTTTCCCGTTTGAAATTTTTGACGTAAACAGATATTATATATGTTCTATATAATATGTTACAGATGTTATATATGTTACAAATACTATAATTATTAAATAATAATTCTATTTCAGATATGCCTAACCAAATGGAGATTACCACTACACCGGACGGCATAAAAATGTATAAGTGCCGGAAATGTAGTGAAATATCCAAGCGACGTTACAATCTGATGCGTCACTTCATTAGATTCCACGAAAAGATTATGCCACGGAAGTCATGTTGCAGTAAATATATTTCAACTATATAATTTTATCTTATTAGTTTCATTACAATAATATTCAGTTTACAAAAGATAATCAAAAGTAATATATTTTTCCGTGATTGCAAACAGAAATCAAACTCAAAACGCTGATATCCGAGTATTTATTTCACAGTACAACGTGTCTAAATTTTCACTAGAAAATTATGTGTATAAAATGCAATGTTTGCACGAAATTATTATTTGTTTCATTATAACAATTAATATTCCTATACATAGCCGGAGTATTCAATTATAATCAGTGAAACCAACTTAGATCTCATTTTTTTCACGTAACATACATGTATAGAGGAAAGTCCCCTATTATCTTGGAGTGAAATTTGTTTAGCGGAAAATTGATTGTTAGATCGTGTAATCGTTGCGAAAAAAGATTTGCGATTGATTTTAAGGATTAAAAACCTGCTGTCTCATATTAAAAACCTATCTCATAATAGAGGACTTTCCTCTACAGATACATATACAAATGTGAAATGATTTTACACTTTTTACATATTACTTTTCAAACATATCTTTATATTTAAATGTGTAATATGATTTTATTTTACAAAATTATTTTTTTAGGTATAATATTTGATACCAAAAGTGATTTTTACAAACACAAAGAGGAAATTCATGACGAAAAGAAAAAATACACCAAAGAACAAAACCAAACGTCAAAACAGGACGACATAAGAACAGAAACTTCGGTGAGATTTTTGGAAATACAAAATAATAAAATTTTTTCTCTGTTATGCACAAAATTAAATAAATAAAAAACTATTGGCATTCCCCTCAATTATAGATGGAAAATACACGAGTGCCATTGAGAAGTATGGCTAATGTAAATAGAACCATCGTAAAACGCGCCTCAAAACCGCGCCGAAAAATTAAATCAAGTTCAAAGGAAAATTTAAAAATATACAACATTATGGATACAACAAAAAAAGGTATAATTAAAAGGTTTCAGTCGATTAATTAAACATTTTTAAGTTGCGCACGAACTTACAATCTTTCGATACTTGACAATATTTATTTGTTAATATATGTTTTACATGTACGTATTAGAGGCAGTTAAATTAAAATCTTTGAAAATCATCAGTTTAACAAATTATTATTATTATTTTATAAAATTATTTTTTTTAGATACGTTTTATACCGAGGATGACTTTCATCAACATAAAGAGGACATTCATAAGAAAAAGAAGAAATGCACAAAAAGAGATCAACAAGACCAAACAGTACCGAAACAGAAAGACACACAAACAGAAATTTCGATGGGATTTGTAGAAATACAAAATAAGAATGAAATTTTGCCTTTGCTACGCGAAAAGTTACAATCGCCAAAGAAATATTGGTGTCATAAATGGACTCCCCAATCTCAAACGGAAAGTAATCAAATACCACTAAGAACCGTGGATGATATAGGCAGGAAAACCATTATGAAACGCGCCTCAACACCCTGTCGAAAAATTGAATCGTCAAGTTCGAAGGAAAGTAAAAAAGTCTACCATATTGCAGTTACATCCGAGGTAGATATAATGAAAGGGATGAGGTTGATTGACTTTTAAATTTTATACGTTGCGCATGAACTTGTAAAATATTTCGATATTTGAGACAATATTTATTTGTTAACATCTATTTTACGTGTGTGTGTGTGTTATAGAAACTTAGATTATAATCTTGTAAAACCATCAGCTTAGCAAATTTTTTCTTTAGTTAAAAAAAAGTGAAGCACGAGCTGCTATGAAAAAAATGTTATTTTTATATTTTTACTTTTATTTATATAATCAAATTCGTATTGCGAACATTATTACTGTGTTAATAGCTTTCCTCTCTTTTAAACGAGTTTCTTTTATATATGTATTTCTTTTATATATGTATACAAAATATATATTTTATATATGTATACAAAATATATTTACGAAAGTAATTTGCGAAAATGTAATTCATGTCTTCCATAATTACGTAGTTGTTAAATAAAACGAGGTGAAAAAATCAAATTAACGGTATATTGAATTTTTCTTTCTACATATAATTGTATACGAGAAGAATTTTATATTATAAGATGGCAATCTTCGTCAAGTTCGTATCTATTTAGAAAGTTTAGTGCTATTTATATGCCAAGTTTTTATACAAACCGTTTAGCTGTTTAGCAGACAATCATATTTAAAGCGGCGATAGCTCGATATAAGTATTTGCATCAAATGTCTTACGTTGGTAAGTAACATTTTTTGTTTCATGTTAATTTCACGTTTCATTAATTTTACTCGATTACGTCTTTTGCTCCGTTGAAATAAATCATCTTGTTCACATCTTCAGTAATTTCTTGCAAAAGTATATCCCGAAATATCAATCCTCTCTTTAAAAAGCGTGTCAAGTCGATACTTGAAAGTCTCGAAATATTGTTGCCTCTTTTCCTTGATCCTGATCGACTTGTCTCGCTTGGCTCGCTTTTTGCTACGAGCTGACGAGACGAATTGAATTTTGACAACTGTCACGGAGGCTGTGTATAAAATAAGTTGTTTTTAAGAAAAATTTTCACGCGCGCTTGTGCTGTTCTAATAAATTAAAATTGCAACATAAGTTTATGTACATCAACTAAATTGATGCAGCATCTCTGAGTAATCAGAATTTAAGATACGATTTTCGTTTCAAAACTTTCTCAACATTTTCTCGATCAGAATCACTCGTTACCTTAAGTGTTCGGGCGTCGATCTCGACGAGATCGCTCGGAAGCCGGCACCGCTCACGAATTGAGCGCGAAGCTGGAATCGCGCGAGGCCGTCGCTTCGCTGGAGGACATGGTGAAGGAAGCTGATACACGGTGGCGCGAGAGACGAGCCGTATCAAGGCGCAAACGGAGGTCTTCTTTCTTGCACGGGTTTGTTGCGCCTCGCGAGCACTGAGATATTGTTCGCGCTCGGCTTAGACCTGGAGTACAATCTTGCAGGACGGTGCACCGGTCGTCCGAACTCATGGCAAAATCAAATTAAAATTAAAGTTAAACCGCTGAACAGTACTTAAAAGAATACATGCTAGAACGAGCCCGATACTTGAGCGCCGGACGCGATAGACTTGTGAATACCGAGATCGGAGCGGTCGCGAAGCGATCTGATTGTGTCAATGTCTCGGATCGAACTCTCTCGATCGTCGGAATTGACGACGAGAGAGGCCCATTGGATTTTGTTCTAGAAAAATCGAAATGTTTAGCTGTCCGGTGACCGCTGGCTTTATTTTCCACCCGGAGTCGTCGTGTAATCGCACATCACAACACGACCCCGGGTGATTCGACTCTCTGTCTCATCATCGCGCACGGCGTATACCGCGGAACGTCCCCGAGTTCAACGGCCGGCTCGACCCGATCGGTCGAAGCCGATACATATTATTTATTTTTCTCGGTGAATCCGAGTAAAGTCGTTTGACGCTCAAACATTAAGCAATAATAATTATCCACAGAATGATATGCAAAATGTACCTATAGTAACACTCGCTGAACAAAGTAATTTGAGAGAGAGAAAGAGCCCAGATAGCCAGTGTGAGCACAAGTTGCTTTCACATTGCTAAGAAAAATGTTAGCATCTTGCTATGCATCTATGTCGTTTATTGTGCTGTTGTTTGCTAGCATTTGGTGTCGGAAATGAAACATTTGCATGATTCAAACATTATGCTAGCATTAAGTGCTTGGTCAGATGTAATAGATATAACATGCTTATATCTGTTAGAAAATTGAAAACAATATATGCTAATTCTTTGTTAACAGTATGTCTATTCGATGTGCTCTCTCTCTTTAGCTGTGCATTTAACTACGACAATATGTTAACATTATGCTAGCTGTGCTTAAATCACTCAAACATTGAATTCATATTCCCAGCAAAGAGCCAGCATCAGTTGCTGGCATTTTATTTCCATACATTGCTTAAGCATACTGGCTATCTGGGAGAATATTAGAATGGTATATTTCATCAGATTGCCAGTATTGATATAAATAAAATTTCAATTCTCAATCGACCTCAGCTGGCGACATTTATTAAACACGCCTTCACAACGTTTCGACGTTTAGGGCCTTTTCAAGTGAGACCTAGGAGTAAATGTTTTACATATATAATTTACGTGAGAAGTATAAACGAATTGTACAGTGGGTGCGTTCCGAATTAGCTATATTTCTGGTTACAAAGTTGGTACCACTGTAACTAACTTTCGTAGGTTCCG